TTGGTCTTGTTCTGAAGCAACGGGCTTTCTTCATCTTGAGCATTTAATTCATCAAATCACTTTTGAGTACTGCACAAAAGTAGTAAAACCATAAATCAATATACTGCATACAATGTTGAAAACAATTACAAAATTCTAAAACTCAATTTCATTTGATTGGTCAAAGGTACTCTTAAAGCTTTCGCCTCTTTCTTCTGCATAACACATCAGATTTGGGTCAGGTAAAGGACAATAGCAATGTATCAGCAAAGATAATAGAACTGATATTCTAACGCCAAAAGTCTTTGCAGGATTGGGGGAAGTATCATAATTTTTATACAAAAATAGAACTCATACTGCTAACCGCTCCTTATAATCAGCAAGTAGAATGAGATCCTTCAAGGCCACCCTTGCAAAGTCGATTTCATCCTCTGGCATGTTGAGTAAAGACTCATCCACTGGAAAAGAAAACATATATTTTAGTAGGTAATAGATAACAGATAAAGCGACATAGCTTTGAAATCTAGAAGCTGTAACAACAAAATCTTCTCTTTCTACGAGTTGAATGAGAAAATTTCTTCCGCTGTTCTTTTTCTGGATTATCTGATGCTTCATTGACTTTCTTATGATTTTGAGCTTCATTAGCTATCTCACGTTTTTGAGGAGGTTTTTCACTTTCATTCACGGGTTTCTTCGACCTCTTAGAAGGTTTACTCTTTGCCGATACATGTTCTACATTATATTCACCATTGTTGTCATTTTTATCCTCATTGATAGCTTAACTAAAGGGGTGTTCGGCAACGAGGCCATTGTCATTACCAGTCCCATCCTCAAGATCATCAACAATATGCAGATTAATCACCTGAGCTTCACTAGATATCTAATGATTTCGAGGAGTTTTTTCACTTTCATTCATGGGTTTCTTTGACCTCTTAGAAGGTTTCCTCTTTGCAGATATGTGCTCTACATTATATTCACCATTATCATTTTCATCATCATTGTTGTCGTCTTTATCCTCATTAATAGCATAACTAAGGGGGTGTTTGGCAGCGAGGCTATCGTGTTTACAAGTCCCATCCTGAAGATCATCAACAACATGCAGATTAGTCACCTGAGATTCGTTAGCTATCTTATGTTTTCGAGGAAGTTTTTCACTTTCATTCACGGGTTTCTTTGACCTCTTGGAAGGTTTCTTCTTTGCAGATACACGTTCTACATTACATTCACCATTGTCATTTTCATCACAATTGTTGTCGTCTTTATCCTCATTGATAGCATAACTAAGGGGTGTTCGGCAGCGAGGCCATTGTCATTACAAGTCCCATCCTCAAGATCATCAACAATATTCAGATTAGTCACCTGCTCTCTCAACCACTTTCTTGCTTTGCTTTTTCCATTCACCTCATCTCTCGGAAGACTGCTTGGACTTTTAAGGACTGGATACTAGAGAGGTGTTCCTTTCCATGATGTTAGAACTCAAGAACCAATAAAGGAACATAAGCAGTATAGCATCCCATAATGAAACTTGGAAATGAGTTCTATCCATGTCCAAGATTAGATACAGGAGAAGCAGTGGAAGAAAAAATTACCACTTCTCTAGCCACGACAAGAACATTTTCCCAAAGATCAACACCTGAGTTAGCAGCTACTGCAAGGTTTGAAAATTCCTCATTCACCGGACATTCAGAGGTGGAAGGATCTGGAGTTGAGCAATTGGGAACATGATCGGTTGGCAAGTCAGGAATTGATCTCTCTCCAAAGAGTGTTTTAGAAGGACCAAACTGAGCATTTGGAGGATGCATAACCGACTCAACCACAACAGGTGGTGAGTTGAGTACGCTAGTTTGTAGCCTGGGCTTGGGTTTGAATTTCCTTCCTAAACATCAACAAAGACATTAGAAAGGCACAACAAAACACCCCGCAGAGGAGTATGAATAACATAGCAATCAATCCATCACATACCAGAGGTAATCTTCATATCTGATATAGTATCTAGAGTGCCAATCAAAGTTATCAAAGGCTCAAGGCGCATCGAGGCGCAAAGTGTCCTGGAGCCTTGAGGCACGAGGCGCATGAAAGGTGCGGGATTCACGAAGGCGAGGCATGATATCCAAAAAATTATAACACATGTATATATTAATGCAATCAAACTCAAATACCATAGATACCCAATATTAGGCTTCAATAGAGTTTATTCTCAAATTCAAAATACCAACCTAACGTCATAAAAGTTATCAAGCATAATCAAGTACTAAGTTTAACAAAAACATTCAACATGCAAAAACAAAACATCAAATAAAGTCACTGATAATCATCATCAAACATCAAACTAATCCTCATCATCATCGTCAAGTGGTATGTCATCATCTTCCTCCTCATCCGTCTCACAATCCCCAATGTCTTCTTCTTCAGTGTCACCCTCCTCTAGTATAACAACTTCATCATCTTCATCATCTTCATCTACAAGGTGTGGTCTAGCTTTTTCCTTTCCTTTCGAGCTTGAACTAGCAACGTTCTTTCTTCTAGTATTATGGTCACGCTCATAAGCTCCGGAAGCTATACCAACATCCTTCCATGTCAAATCGTCATCATCAAACACATAATCTTCATTTTCTTCTTCATCCTCATCCATTCTACCAAGCAACCATTCGTTACTTTCATCAATGTCATCCAAAGAGATTGGATCAATGACATCACGATGATTATAGGTTTGCTTAATTTTTAGACTGTCACAAATTTTGATGAGCGGAAAAGAAAATATCAAATGCTGATAGATAAATAAACTTAGGTGAAGAAAGGACCAAAAACGATTACAAAGCTTATTTGTTTGAAACAATATAACGAAAATGGTCGTTCATTTTTGCAGACCATGTATGCATAGAAGAGAAGGCCATGCAGTAATAATTACAAGGTTTTAAGCCCACATCGCGCCTCAATTGCGCCTCGACTGAGCCTCGCGCCTCAGAGCCTCGCTGCGCCTAGGCTACGTGCCTCGCTTCAATGTTGAAAAAGCCCCGTCCAGTGAGCCTCTGTGCTTTTGCGCCTCAGGTGCGCTTTTTACAACTATGGTACCAATATTGGGAAGGCTCCTGCTTCCTGAAACTAAACAAATATTCAAACCAAATTAATCCAGGGTAGTAAATACAAACAAGAAATTCTGAAACTTTTACAGAGGTACCGTTCTTCTCCTGTGTCCTATTGCCTTCATTATCATTCCGAATATCTCCATCATTATTAGAGATTGAGTACATAAAGGATCAACACATTCCAACCCAGAAAATAAGTCTGCATTCTGAAAATAATGCCAATAGTGAACTGTGTTTTCCTTTTCACTTCATATGAAATCGATGTGCCAAAATCTACCAAATAATCGATCTGCTAACTTTTTTTTCGTTAGTTTTCTCATGTATTTTAGGATCCACGGAAAATCATATCCCAAACCCATATACAGATATTAATGAAAGAGCTCGAGCACTATAATTACTAATCAATGAGATAGAAACTATAGTTTTTCTTTACGTCTCCAACTGAGCTTTCAAAGCACGAATTTGTATCTTCGCAAACGGAAGCCTCAGCAAGCAGAGAATCTGTGTCAGCTACTTGGGAGCTCTTACTGTCAGCCACAATATTTTCGGGCTCGACAACCTGAACTGCATCAATGGCGGCGGATGCTACCATAGCGGCCTCCTTCGTAATTTTGCGCGCGGGGGGGGCGTTGAAGGGATTGAGCCAGAAGTTTCAACTGGCTTTACGTTTAAATTTGGGCTGACACCAGCACGAGCTGCCAAGAGATTCAAAATCTAATTAAAACAACCAAAAGAAAACAACACAGAAAGAAACAGGAAAACAAGAAAGAATGGAAGCTTTTTCTAACCTTGGGTTGCAAGCGGCGGCTCCGAAAATAAATCAGAATCTTCCATTACAATAACCTGGATTGGAACACTAAGAATATTGCTTTAAAACATTTGTTTCAAATGAACGAAACTGATTTAGAAAATAAATTAAATACACGGAAATTACATATAAACAGAACAAATCTGTAAATTATTTGCAAAACCAACCACAATATTCTGAGCTAAAGGAAACAAACAGCAACGTTTTGGAAAAAGAAAGTAAAACAACAGGCGTTTCCAATAATTTTGTTTGGGGGGAAATGAGAAAAAAACGAGAGAAGGTGGAAGGAATTACCCGAGCGAAATATATGCTAAAACCCAAGATTCGGAGCTCGATCAAATAACTGAAAAGAGAACCAAAACTTCTAATTTAATAATCTTATAAAATTTACTGTTTTGATCCCACTATTAAATAAAAGTTTAATAAACTATTTATCCTTATATTTTATATATATTAACGAATTATTCCTTAAAATTTTATAATTTAATCTAATATCAATATGTATAACATTTAATATTTTGATCTTTTTATTTAATACCAACTTACTATTTATACTACTGATATAAAGTTGTCCTTTTGTTTTTAATACAAAATTATAGTGGGTAAACTACTTGTATAATCACTAAACTTAAGTTCTATTTTGGCCATTCCACTAAAAAGTTTTAAGGAAAATATTATTAATTAAGTCAATAATGATAACTTTTAAGGAAAATATTGATATTACTGTTAAATAAATTTAATAATTACATATTTAATTCTCATTACTTATATATTCTATCAATTTTATCATAATTTTAATTATAAAAAATTAATAATCATCCAAAATGTTAACATATGTCACGATCTTATAATAAATAAAAATATTTAATAATCATCTTATTAGATGGAGGGAAAAAATAAAATTCAATAAAAGAAAATGATGAAAGGGGGAAGGGTGATGTGTCTCCACTGGCAGGTTCTAATTTCTAAATTAATAAAAGATAAACCTGAGTGGGAAATTAGCTTTTTCCGAGTGGAAAAAAAATTAATTACAGTTTCCACTGGCTGCAGAAGTCGAATATAGACTGAATTGGTAAAACAACTCATCCGAGAAAAGTGACCAAATTCAGGTAATCATGAGGAGATTTGGCTGTAACTAAAGGGTGCCTAAATTGTCTATTCAAATCATGCAAATATACAAACTTGTCAGTAATTTGGGACCATAAGCCCCACGTGTAATAATCCACGCATGCATGAGGGTAAACAATTTCAAAAAATTTGTTGCATTGGTGTATGATAACTTAAACTACAAGCTACAACAGGAATAAGAGTGGGAAACAAAATGGAAGACAATAGTGCTCCCTAGTGAAATCTCGGAATGCCACTGAACTCCAGGAGGCAAGCAGTTTGGTTGAAATCAAAATGTGTATATCTGAATGATCAAAGTATTTAGACCGATGGAATAACATCTGCGCATCCACTTTTCGCTGGCAATTCTGTCTCAATTAGTGGGCCTGCGCTTCAAGAAGATGTTGGTGGCAGCATTGATGTCATTTCTAGCGTGCACAAGTGCCTGCCTGGCTGAGTTCTGATCAAAGCCCATCGACACTAGGGTAGCAACAGAGACCTCCAATGGCTCTACAGCTGAAGGTGCAACTGAGGGTCGATAGGTTCTCTGAAAACAAAAGAGTTCAAGGCTTTGCATATCAGTGGTCAATGTAAATCCAAAAATCATTCAAAAATCTTCGCAGTTAAATACAAGAAATGGAAGAACCAACACATGACTGACACTGAATCTAATAGTTGGATGACAGTGGTACCGAGTAAACCTTTTCATAAAACAAACAACTTTAGGGAAAATTAGTCAAAAATCTATAGAAACCAATTGACCCACTAAATGTCTATTGAAAATACAACAGTTCACCAAAAGCTGGAATAATGGTTAACAGAATGCCCAACCTACATGATCTTATCAATGTATGTAATCGGTCAATCCATGAAGATTATTTTTTCCTTCAAACGTTGCTAACAGATTTGATATCTATAAAGCTCAAAATCTCAGAAACCTCCGATAATACTTAACATTGAGTCAGAATTCTGAAGGGATTGAAGGAGCTAATCTCAAGTTCAGTGCAGATTCTTATGTTTCTGCTTAAATGCCTGAATCTCCACTCAGAGGAGTTAGAATTTCCCACTACTCTTCCTTCTATTACAAGTTTTTGCATTTTTTTTAGTAAATCTTACTAAACGATAATTATGGGTCACAAATCCATAAATCCTCACTAATCATGGTCATGCAGCAAATGGCTGTCATATGCATTTCGCCATTCAGTATTCCAAAGGGCTGTATAGACAATCTAGTAACTGTATGGACATTTTTGCTCTGCATACATGGAGGATTTAGACTTTCATAAAAAAGAAAAGTACATTCATCAATATAGTGGTTTCACACACTAAGGTACACCGCATAGAGTTACATCAATATTACTGAATCAAGTTACATATGATCATAATGTCAACCTTCAGAAGAATGCATGAACCTTATAGAAGAGAAGAGGATATATTATTGAATCTTATAGAATACCACCTAACGCCGACCACTAAGCAGTAATACTTTAACAAACTAAAGCAATAGCAATATTATGACATTGAAATGTTAAACATCCGCAGCATACTATAATAAGAGCAGTTGAACACCATTAACATTCATATGCACCACATAATGCAAGTTTCATGAATAAAATACATCTGAAAAACATAATTGTATGCAACCTCTCAGCCCTTGCCTGATGTAACTCCAACTTCGGATTCCGATCACATGCTTCATGATACAAGTTGACAATATGCATGTTTATGTCGGCATGTAAATTACAACTAATTCTGCTTCCTAGAAAAAATGTCGTAAGAAATTTCTTAAAATGAAGCATTTTTAAAAAATACTTGCCTCCACTTGGCGAGTTGTGTAGGAAGGTACATTTCCTGCAAGATTCCTAGTTGGTGCTGTAGGTGAATTCCCCATAGAGGGCAAAGAAAGCCGCAAAAAGAAGGATGTAATAAACATGGGGAACTGAAAATAAAACAATGACTTTAGCAAATATAACATTAATGAAAATATATCAGCATACTAATTGAAAAAGATGTTACAAATTGGATGGAGCAACTAAAGAAATAGTTAAAAAGGTGAAATAATGCTATTATAGCAAAATTCAATAACCCTTCTTTAGCAGAGGAACTTTCTTCAGGACAGATCACCTTTTTTTTATAGGAATAGGAGGTCTCATTAAAACCTCCCTCATAGTTGGCTCTTATCAAGAGGCAACTAATTGAAGGAGGAAAAGAGTACCTCAATTTATTAATAAACCTGAATTACAAAGGATACACATTGCACTCTAACCCCGAATTACATAAGATACACATTACACTCTAGCCCTCCTAGAAAAAACAGAACATAACTACAATAACACGGGAAACAAACAACCATCAGCCTATCCCTTCCTTAGCTAGCTTATCTGCCTCCAAATTACAGCTCCTAGGAATCCATCTAACCATAATGTCCTTGGCAGTAACTAAGGCTCCAATTTCTCCTACCATCAAAAACCTGAATTACAAACCTTTTTTTTATAGGAATAGGAGGTCTCATTAAAAACCTCCCTCATAGTTGGCTCTTATAAGAGGCAACTAATTGAAGGAGGAAAAAGTACCTCAATTTATTAATAAACCTGAATTACAAAGGATAAACATTGCACTCTAACCCCGAATTACATAAGATACACATTACACTCTAGCCCTCCTAGAAAAAACAGAACATAACTACAATAACGACGGGAAACAAACAACCATCAGCCTATCCCTTACTTAGCTAGCTTATCTGCCTCCAAATTACAGCTCCTAGGAATCCATCTAACCATAATGTCCTTGGCAGTAACTAAGGCTCCAATTTCTCCTACCATCAAACTAAGAAACACAGGGGCAGAAGAAGGGCTCAAAATCCACTCCACTGCCTTTAAGCAATCACTCTCTAGAACAAGTCTACCTTTCACCACCCATTGAGAGCAAAGAAATAAATCAATTCCTTTTTAATTGCTTTCAACTCAGCAAATAATGGGGGACCAGGTCCCACAGCAATAGAAAAAGTGATTAGGGTAGATCCATTTGAATCTTTCATGATTCCTCCAATTCCACCTCTTAAGCCATCAAGCCTTACTGCCCCATCAATGTTGAATTTAAAAAAATTGGTGGAGGAGGCACCCAGCATAGATCTTTCTTCTTCTTAGTCGGATAAGTAGAACTTTTGTCTGCAAGCGTTGGATCCCCTACCAATAAGTCAGGCAGAATTTTAACTTGAGGAAATTTGGCTAGAAACCATTTGGCTAGTCTAAATCTGGAAATAAAAACAGTAAAGCACAATCAAGTTCCCAGTTTTCGAACACCACTGAGTCCTAGCCTTCCATAAAGACCACAAAACAACCCCTGGTATAAACTTCCAAATAGAAGACGAGGCCATTAGATAAGACCAAGAACACAATAAAGATAGGGGATCTTTGGGCAAAACTGATGATAAATCCCATAATCTTAGAAATCCATTCCACAGTTCCACTGCAACTGGACAAGAAATGAACAGATGTTGAATTGATTCTTCATCCTTTAGACATAAAGGACACTGAACATTATCCAGGGGAACCCCTCTTTTTTTAAGCTCCACTCTAACTGCCACTTTATGATGAGATAACTGCCATAAAAAGGTTTGAACTCTTGGAGGGACTATTCCTGACCACACCCATTTATTCCAATGGAAATCCCCTCCAGTCTGCAAGGGAGAGTCAACCTACATGCTTTAACCGAGAACATACCATCGCCTTTCCTGACCATGCCAGAAAGTCATCAGCTGATTCAATCAACTCAATATTATCAATCAAAGACATTAAAGAAATCACTGGTCCAGTTCCCAATCGCATAAGTTCCTCCTTAAATGAATATTCCAAACCCAACCACTGTTATCATAACTACCAAAATCAGCAACATTGCCCCATTTATTAGTAGAAAGAGCAAATATCCTTGGGAATTGAATTTTCAGAGTTGAGTTATTAACCCAAACATCATTCCAAAAAGCAATTGACCTACCATTCCCCACTTGCAACTTCGAATTTGACCTCAAGCACTCACCAATTGTGTCTTTTTCTCGTAGTTATTCAATATTCCTCTCCAAATCCACGAGTCTTTGTGAGAAACAGCCTTGCTAATTGAAAGAGTTAAATTACTGATATTATGTTTACAACAAATTAGTTCCTTCCATAGTGAATCTTTCTCGTTTGCAAACTTCCAACCCATTTCCCGAGTAGCACTCTATTGATCATACTCAAATCTAAAACACCCAAACCACCCTTCTCAATAGGGTGACACGCCTCACCCCAATTAACCCAATGAATTCTCCGCTTTCCTGAACCTTCCCCCCATAAAAATTTGGCCATAAAGAGTTCAGCTTTGATTAACCTTAGGAGAATTCTGAAAAGAGATAGGAAGAAAATCGGCAACGAGGACAGCACTGCCTTCACCAAGACCAGTCTTCCAGCCATGAAAGTGTTACAGCTTTCCATCCTGCTAACTTTGAAGTGAAGTTCTGTATTACTGGTTCCCACAACAGGTCTGAATTTTTTATAGAACCAATCGGTAATCCAAGGTAAGTCATAGGAAAAACACCCACCCCACAACCTGCATCAGAAGCCCACTCTTTTAAAGTATCATCTTCCAAATTAACACCATACAACTTCCTCTTGGACAGATTAATGTTCAGCCCTGACATAAGACTGAAAATCCTCAACACTCTCCTAATGTTCAGGATCTGCATAGGAGAATCCCTGCAGAACAGAATTAAATCATCTGCAAATTGCAAATGAGTCAGACGAAAGGAATTTTCAACCCCACCAATGCTAAACCCTTCGAACAACCCACAATTAACAACCTTGATCAACATTAAATTCAGTAACTCCCCTACTAAATTGAACAAGGGAGACAAACTGCAGCCCTGCCTTAAGCCTTTGCCCATCTGAAATTCTTCAGTAGGAGAGCCATTGAGAAGAACTGAGATAGAAGCAGATGAGATGCAACGATCGATCCATGAAATCCACTTATCTCCAAATCCCATGACTTTCAATAACTTCAGTAAAATCGGCCATTCCACCGAATCATAAGCTCTACGAAAATCCCAGGACAGATCACCTTTAATCACAATAAATTCAATGGCTTCACTTGCAGTGCTAGATCTTTTTTTTTATAGGAATAGAAGGCCTCATTAAAAACCTCCATCATAGTTGCCTCTTGTAAAGAGACAAATAGCGGAAGGAGGAAAAGAGTGCCTTAATATATTAATAACCCATAATTACACAAGTTACCAACCATTACATAAAATTACCTAACATAGAAACATAACCAAAATAAAACACCATAACCACTACTCAAAAAACAAACTTCACACTCTCTAACCAATTCTGACTTAGCTAGACAATCAGCTTCCACATTAATACATCTACTGATATGCTTAATAATAATATTAGACTGCACAACTGTCTTATGAATTTCTGAGATCAAATCAACAAGGTGAACCGGACAAATTTCTGGGCTGTTGATCCACTTCACAGCAAGGAACGAGTCACTTCCAAAATCAGAATACCTTTATCCCTCCAAACTGAATCAAAAAACACTGCTAACCCCACTTTAATAGCAAAAATCTCAGCAAGAATAGGAGAACAAGGTCCTAATGCTCTAGAGAAAGAAACCAGCTTGTTCTTGTCAGCATCTTTAAGAACTCCACCAACACCACTTCTTCTCCAATCAAAGTTAACAGCCCCATCAACATTCATCTTAAAATAACCTATAGGAGGAGGACACCAATTTAATCTTGACAGCCGAAAATTGGAGGGGAACTTAATCAAATCCGCCAAAGAAAGATCTCCCACAAGGCTGTCCACTTGGATAGACACATCCTTGTTTTTAGCTAAAAACCATGACGCCACCCTATACCTCACCAAGAAAAACAAATTAGCTTTATCGAACTTGCCTTTCTTGAAAACAATATGGTTCCTACACAACCAGACAGACCACAAAACAGCTCCTAGAATAAATCTCCAAATACCCGAGTTAGGACTTAACTGCACCCATGAAAGTAAGAAGCCCTTCGGATTATTAGGAAGAACTGAGATAACTTTCCACAGACGGAGGATTTTGACCCAAATCTGCCAAACCTGGACGCACGAAAAAAATAATGACTAACCGATTCTGGTTCCACTCCACAGAACACACATAGAGGGGATCGATATTATTGACTCCCCTTCTCATTAAAACAGTTTTGACAGCCAGCTTCTGATGAATAATTTGCCACGGAAAATCTCCACTTTTGGTGGAACTAAACCCCTCCACACAACCTCCAACCATGAATTATCTGAGTCTGATAAACTTGACACTAATCTGAACAAGATTGAACCGAAAACACACCATCCCCACTACCTTTCCACGCCAAACGATCTCCACCCTTCAACAAAGGTTGAAAATTATCCAACAATACCATCATTTCCATCCAATGTTCAAACTCACTATCCATTAAGTTCCTCCTAAGTTGTAAATCCCACACCCACTTCCCATTAGACATACACCCAAAATCAGCCACAACCCCTTATTAACTGACAGTGCAAAGATTCTTGGGAACATAGTCTTCAAAGAATAATTAGAAATCCATGAATTATGCCAAAAACTAATTGAATCTCCTTTTCCCACCTGAAGCACAAGATTATTCCGAAAGCATAACCCAAAAGAATCATTAGTCCGAAAGTTATTAACACCACCTTTCCAAATCCAAGACGCATTAGAGGGCAGATTATCATCTAGAACAATAGAACTCATCCCCACATTATACTTGGAGCATATCAATGTCTTCCACCAAGAATCCTTCTCTGAACCAAACTTCCATACCCATTTGCCCAATAAAGCTCTATTCCTTAGCTAGATCTTTTGAATTTCAAAACATTTAATTCTTCGATAAAAAGCTGTTAATAGTTTTCAAATTTTATTCTAATTTGCGTGGCATTCTGATTTAACTAATATTTCCTAATTCATGTAAAATCAGTGTTAATAAACAGAAACAAAATGGAAAATTAATTTGCTGCATTAAAAAATATAAAATCCTACAACTGGTCCCTGAACTGCAGTCAAATGTTGTACAAGAATATCACCAAAATGAATTCCTCTGCATCTATTGATCAGTGATCTACGGAACATCACTAACACCATCAAAATGAAGCAGCTAGTGAGCTAATTTTCATTTTTGATAATGACATGTCAAGCCAAATGGAAAGTGTGACATCTATTAAGATAAAATCAATTAAATTTAAACTAAAAAGCAATTTTCTATTTTTTGTTTCTTTTCTTCTCTATCATCCATTCCACTCCATATGCCACTCTCTTTTCCTCGGCACACACCACTGATAAAATGCAGTGCAAAAGTAAGTGCATATGCATAAGAAAAATTTACATATGCATAATTCACTACCGTTTGAAATGTAGGGACTTTGTTATAATAGAACCCCTGAACAGGACCATTCATCAATAGGTTTATACAGAAAACATAGCCACCATTGCTGCAGCCAGAATCGCATTTCAATCTATAGCATAGATGGAAATCTATATGTATTTCCCCATGTCTCCAAGAAAGGAAAGTTAACGAAGCAAAAATTTCTAAGTATCAGATTGGAAACAACCTTAGCCCTTTGGATGCAAAAGACATTTAGACGATATAAGGAACCAGCAAGGATGCCACATATCCCAGGTAAGAGAGATCTTTTCCAAGATGATAGAAGAAGCTGCAAGAAAGAAACTGAAGTTTGTCACTGGGCCTTGAAGTAGAAGACTAACACTAAGCAGTAAAACTAATTACTCACTCATTACCTGAAGACCAGCTAGATAGATGAAAGATTTATTGGAGAAGCGAACACCAAAAATTCGAAACCATGTTGAAACCGGGATGTCAAAATAAAAAGGTACAAATGAGGCAAATATGAGGCCATAAGGTCCAGAAGTAAGCAGGTTAGCTGTGGGATCTGTAAACATTAAGTCTCAAGTAAATTTTCCATCAGCATCACCAATTCAGCATAGAAAACTAGTATATTTAATCCTGCATACAAATAACAATCAAACATGCTGATGTCTAAAATCTGTCTTCATTAAAAATTTTAAGAAAATAAAGGAAAGCCTTTTTGTTGGAAGCCAATATGTATGACTTAGATTGCGAGTTATACAACAATATCTTAACATCGTAAAACAGGTATAATCACATAAAATTCCGAAAGGTATATTGCTCAAAGGGAAGTTGAACTTCCCACTCCTGCTTAATTTGGAAAAGAATTTTGAAAGTTGACCAAAAAAACTATCACCAGAAGAAAATATACAAACTGAGAAAGACTGACACAACATGGTTTATATTAGAAGAAAATGGCATGGAATGATATGACAATACATACCTTTAAGGATAGCTAGAGCCACAACCTCAAAGAGAAATGAAGCCACTACTGAGAACAAAATAAAAACCTGCATAATCAAAGCAGACAAATTTATGTGTAGGAAGGGGGTGGCATACTTTGGTTTTTGTAGAAAATGAGCAGCCAATTAAAGAAATATAAGAGTATAAACCATTTTGCAAGTCAAACTGAGAATCTCTTCAATTGATGATTCCACCATCACATGTGAAATTTCGTAATAATATCATAAAGGTCTATCGATGGTGGCTCATTCTATTAATTTAATACAAATTTAATGATGTTATATAATAACTCCTCTGGATGGGTTACCAGTACGTGACAGTAATTTTTACAACCATGGATAATTCATCTTGTTTTTGGCAACCTAAATTTGAATATGGATATCAATTTCTGAATTCAGATTTCTTATATAAGTAATCAAAGACTTGTAATCCAAGATTTTCAAAATATTCAAATTGCTAGTAAGGTAGCTTAAGATTTCAGTTTAAATTCAAATTAATATTTTTTTTATTTTATTATACAAAGAATTCATTGATAGAATCAAACTATGTAAATAACATTTCTCTCTGTCTCTCTCTCCATTTCTATCAGTATGCAAACTTTCGTAGAGAATCGATCTACTGGAATTAATTCTATCATGTAAATACAGCTTCTACAGTCTCCTTTATACTCAGTTCTGATCTTATCAAACTAGAAACTTATTAGTGACTAAAATCCTAAAATAATAGAATTTCTATTTGATAGACAACCCACAAAACCTCAAACACTTGCACATAATATGACATTGACCAACACTTTCCTATTTCTCTTGATATCAGAAGAAAGTGAAACAAAAGAAAAACCAAACCAAACTCAGATATTTCGCTTAAATGGCAGGGCCTCTTCTAACAAGGGTCACAGTATTAGTACAGTTAGGTTACTGTAGTTTACTACACTGGAAACATAAATCCTATAGTAATAGTTTAATTCTACAAGTATTGGGTGCAACATTAAAGAAACGTGTATATATATCACAACAAACACAACAAAACACAATGGTATAGTATAAATGCTATGATTACTCACAGAGTACTTGTTGGAACCAATTTGTCGCTCAAAGACCCTAAAGTAGTATAGTAGATAAAGTCCAAACATCAGCTCGGGTGTAGATGAAAAGGCAAAAACTGATGTGATTAGCTTCCATATGCTAAGTTTTCCGAAAATATCCTGTCATAACGATGGAACAATCAGAAAGAGCTATAAAAAATAACCTAAACGATCACAAGGCATCTTAAAGAAAATTAAAGAAATGCAATGCCATTCAACTTAATTTTGGTGTGGAGAGATCATCCATTAACAACATGGCACTACAAACAGTTTCTTTACCATCATTTAATTTTACTATATATTTAGCAGCTTTACAGTATAGTTAAGACTAAATACCCTCACCCCACCCCGTTTTCCCATTTTTTAGAGAAATTACCATTACTATTCGGCTTTTTCTGACAAGAAATCTTAACACAGTAATACCACCTCCCCTTAACTCCTTTTTTCCCATTTCTGAGTTAAGTATATAAATAGATGCCCTTAACAAATTACCATTAGCATGCCTCCTGAATTTGTTTTATTCAGCATATAAACAGATGCACTTAAAACCTGTAGAAGAAAATAAAAGAAACACCCATTCTTCTTTTGTCATCTAAATAAAATGAGTAACTTTGCACACTGAACAAATAACAAATTGAACAGTATAGCAACACTTGTTTAATTTCCTTTGAGAAAATGTAGCACCAACTAGTACAACACTACTATTCCTATAGACAGACACAAAGAAGATTGAAGTAGTACAAAAAAGTATCATGTATGTTTTGAGACATTCAAAGAAAATAAAGCAGGCTCCGTTAATTGCTTAAGGATTAAACTAAGAGGGTGAATATAAGCTTGTTTTCCTCATGGGCTCGATACTTCAAAAACTGTTTTTATATCATAATTTTCTACTTAATTACTACTTGTATGCATCCCGATGAGCTTCTAGCGATATGGTCTTAAATATACTATGAAGTAATGTGTCTATATAGCTAATACCATCTAGTAGGGAAAATGTAGTTTGTTGTTGAAATTGTCTGAATTATGAGATTAACTACAACATATGATTAGAAATCTGAGTTGAAAATGTGTTACTATTGTATTGCTCTTCTAGTCCATAGCTCTTCTAGTTCATAACGGGCAACCAAATGATAGCAATCTCTACTTGGTATCTCAATTCTAAACCTCAGTCAAATCAGTGACAAAAGAATACTTGATTTTGAGCAAACTTAATGGACCAAAATAAGATGAACCACAAACTAATAATTGAATATCATTCAAATATGTGTTCTCTTACAAGATGAATTTCATGTATCTAAACAAATGATATACTCAGAGTAAGATTAATAGAAACTAATTAAAAAACTATGAAAGATCAATGATGTGGAAAACAGAAAACTTAGAAATCACTTTCATCTTATCCACCCAACCACAAGGCTTGCTTGAAATGAAGTCTTCTAGATCAGTAGTTGATGGGAATAAAAGGTAAAAGAAAGTCATCTACTTGATGCATTGATAACCAAAACAATTATGCATTCAATAAAAGATCCACTTTAAAACCAAAAGAACGATTAAACATTCCTCATTCTTTCCATAAAAAACACAGGACAAATTTTGAAATTAATTTTCAGAAAAGCAAAGGCCAATCCTGATAAATTGGGAAATAGAAAAACAACAGCTTGTGTGGAAATTGAAATGGTAGATCAAAGACGCATCACGGAAAAACCCTAGAATCTAGTTCACACAATAAACATTAAAAAAATGACCACGTATCCACGAACACGAATTAACATTAGAATTAAAAAACTGCCGAATATAATTCGTACAGGAAATGTTTAAATTAAGAAAAAGGAAAAAAAACAGATTCAAAGCGAAACTACTTAACAAGGGTTTACCTGATAGGACAGTCCGAGGTTAAACGAACGGCCTTGGATCCCAAAAAATACGGTGAAGAACGCAGATGCAACAATAAAACTTCTTGCGACTGGAGCATTATCTGCAACACAGTAATATACAAACTCATGGAAATTTCAAGACAAATAGGAAAAAGAAGAATCAAAGAAAACAATAATTCTAATAAATAGAACGCACTGAAACCAGACGGGCCGCCGTTCATCTTTCAAAATTGATAGGAATGAAGAAGCAACGGCCTTTGCCTTTCAGCTTTCACCCTTTTTGTCTGTCTTTGGTATGGAACGGAATTACAGAACTGAAAAGACTCCTCTTTCTTTTATTTTATTTATGGTTTTCAATGACGGCTCCCTTTCTCACCCCCCCCCCCTAAAAATTAAAGAGTAATTTCTAAAAATAAGTCAGTAACTAAGAATAATTTAAATAATTTAAAGTTAAGGATAGAAATGACACATAACCTACAATTAAATGTTATTTAGTGCAGTTTGTCTTTTTCAGGGTAAATTACATTGGCGGTCACTTTTGTTTGAGTTTTATAAATTTTTAATCATTGAATTTAAAAAATAATATTTGGTCACTTTTGTTTTGTTTTAATTAAGATGTGATCCCTGAATGTTAGTGACCGTTAAACTTTTAATGGTTTGCTAATGTGGCACAGTAAATATATAAAATTAAAATTACATCATTTTCACGACTGATTATGGGTCTTTTGTAAATTCAAATTAGTTTAGGGATAATATTTCAATTTATCCATTTTAATAAGTTTTCTTCCCAACCCCATTGTTGTTCATCTTCTCCTTGCTTCATCTTCGGACATCTTTGTTCATTGCTCCATTTTCCTTCTTCAAGGACTTATGTTGTAATTCAAGAATAATGCAAGGTTTTCAACTTCTGGTGACAAATAATAACACCACAAGTAGGGCTGGCAATGGATCGGAGATGGGTCGGGTGGAGCTTCATCCGCCCCATCACCCGCGGTCCAAATCTCCATCCACACCATCCATCACCCACCAAAAATTTCATCCATATCCGCTCTATTCATCATCCGCGGGTAGAGCGGGTGGAGCGGATGAGAAATAAATGATACTATTAACAATTAAAATAATAATTGTAGTAAATTTAAAACGAATAAATTTAGACACATATATATGCAATGAAACTAAAAACATGAAAAAATCTACAATTAACTCAATCATGATAAATATAAAACCAAAATAAATTTTAAAAAATCACAGATAATTTTATACATGAAATAACTTAAATTAAAATAAATTTAAAGATAATCCACGTATGATTTACATATACTAAACGTGATTTACATATATTTATCTATAGTTCCCGATGATAATGCGGTTGATGGGATATCAAAAATTGGAGTTGACGCTAGCATGGTTGTATGGGCAGCTCGGATTTTAATTCACAGACAATATGTTACGGGGTAGTGGACTGGAGCATGCATTTCTTTGTCAAGGGATGGAGATATATATATATATAATATAATATATATATATATATATATATATATATATATATATGGATGTATATATTAATGGGTGGATGAATGCTGCAGGTGATGGGTCAAAAAATTTCATCCATATCCGACCCGACCCATCCATCACCCGCCAATCATCCGTTTCACAACGAGTTTTCATCCACAAGTTCAAAAAAAAGAGTTAGCATCTAGATTTAAAATAAAATTGGGTAATCTCAGTTCTACAAACTAAAATTCAATTTCCAAAGATTGAGATTGCAAAATGTCAAATCCAAAAGGAACAAGAAGACAAATCAATAGATCCAAATAATCTGATAACCGTATATCACTCTTCGTGGTGATTATTGCTGGAAAATAGATTGTTGCAAAATGAAGCGTTAACACTGATTGTAAATATTAAATAAAATAATTAAATATAACGATAACCATGTTGTGGTAATCCACTGCCTTAGAAGCGAATTCGTTCAGATGTGTGTAATCGCTACAATGGACGAATGGCCCCTTGAGGTTAGCAGAACTCTCCAAATTCCGTACATTCGAAAGATGGAGTGGATTTGGGTGGTACTATTCTTCTCTCAACTCAAAACAACACCCAAGGAAATTACCAAAGAGTGTTTCAAAGCAAATATTTGCTTAGGGATATTGTTGAAAACATTTTGATGTTTCGATATAACAAATTAAGTTAAATGAATTTTAAGATTTTCCAAATAATTTTCTAAGTATATTCGATATAACTATTCGAATATCAAAACATTACTCCAAATCTTTCAAAAATCATTTTTAATCCTTACTCAAGTGTAAAATTAAGTTTTAATCTTAAAACAATTTCAAAATAATTTTACAAAGTATTTCGAACCATTTCAAAGCCAAAAATTTCAGATTGCTCAGAGGGAACCGATTCCCCCCAAGGGGGTACTGATTCCCCCCTAAATGGTTTGGCTCCGAGAATTTCAGTATGCTCGGAGGGAACCGATTCCCCCCATGGGGTACCGATTCCCCCTTGTATAACGGTCGAAATATTTGAATTTTACACTTAGGGAACCGATTCACCATAGGGGATACCGATTCCCCCCACGCTCCAAGCTGTTTTATTAATTGTTTTCACACTAAAACGGCTATATTATCTTCTCTAATCATCCTCAACGTTCAGAAGTGATTCAAGGTGTATTTAAGCAAGCTTAGAAGCCATTGATCAATAACAAGAAACATCAAGCAATTATAATCAAGAGAAAAACAAAGAGAAAGCATCAAACCTCATGTTTGAGCATTTCAAGCCTATTTTTCATTCAATATTCATTTTGCTTTCAAGAACACTTATTGTGCTCAATTGTATTTATTCTTGAGTGTTCTTTCTTTGTTCTAGATTTGTGCAAACATATTTGTCTTGTGAGGTTTTTCTTGTAAGTTTGCAAATTTGTATTTCTCTTTGAGAAAAGAGTGTTCTCAAGAATTGGGGTATATTCTTGAGGGAGTTGTAAGGTTATCTCATTGGCCTTAAAAGAAAGAACAAATTAGTGAATTTGTTGGAAAATCCTTAGTGTGGATAGCTAAGGTAGTGGACGTAGACTTTGGTTGATAAAGTCGAATCACTCTAAATCGTTGTGCAATTTCTTTCAATTTTCTGCAAAAGCTTCCACCAAAATTTTTATTGCCAATTTGCCCCCTCTTGGCCGATTCAGTCAATCGATTAACTCAACAATTGGTATCAGAGCCTAACTCATTTGAAGGTTTAATCGCCTCTTGAGTCGATTCAGGAAGAATTATATCGATAATAAAAGTCATCAATGGCCTCCGCTTCAAACTTCGACTCCGGTCTCGATTCGATGCCCGTCAACAAGCCTCCTTTCTTCAATGGAGCTAACTATGCCTATTAGAAAAATAGAATGATGTACTTCATTCAAGCAAGTGACATGGGAGCATGGAATGCCGTAGAAGAAGGATACATCAAACCTCTCACTCATCCAAGGTTGTGGAGTGAATGAGAGACAAGAATGTTCCAGCTCAACTCCAAAGCCATCCATATCATTTTTGTGCTCTTGGATCAGATGAATACGGAAGAGTTTCATCGTGTACAACCGCCAAAGAAATATGGGACAAACTTCAAGTCACTCATGAAGGTACCGATGAGGTAAAGAAATCTAAAACTAGTATTCTAACGCATAGCTATGAAAATTTCAGGATGAAACCAAATGAAGATATCAAAGCTATGACGGATAGATTTTCAACGATTGTCAATGGTCTCAAATCATATGGAGAGATCATTTCAAATGAAAAGCTTGTGAGGAAGTTAGTCTACTCCCTCCCAAAATCGTGGCAATCAAAGAAGATGGCAATCATCGAGTCTAAGGACTTAACGTTCTTAACTCTTGAAGAGCTAATTGGGTCACTCCTCACTCATGAAATGATGCTCGAAGATGAGGTGGACCTCGACAAGATTGACGAGACACCAAAGGAGAAGGAGAAGAAGAAAAACATTGGAGTTGCTCTCAAATCCACAAAAGATGAGAGTGATTCGAATGACGATGACGATGACGAGGAAATGGCATTGTTTGCCAAACGGTTCAGAAAAATAATGAGACCTTATCGAGGAAGAAAATTCAAACGAAATGAAGGCCTCAAAAATGAACCGAAAGAGAATGACCCAATCATTTGCTATGAATGCAAAAAGCAAGGGCATGTCAAATATGATTGCCCACAATTGAAGAAAAAAGGTCAATCAAAGAATAAGCACAGGGCTCATGTGGCTACATGGAGCGATGAAGAAAGTTCCGATGAAGAGGAACAAGAAGTAGCTAACTTGTGCTTGATGGCATTCGGGGAAGATTCTAAGGTAACCTCTAACTCATCCGATTTTGATGATTTATCTTATGATGAGTTATTTGAGGAATATAATGGGTTGGCTTCGGATTATGAGAAATTATTTTTAAAATATAAAAATGATGTTTCAAAATTAAAAAATATTGAAACATGAAAACAAACTCATATCCAAAACCAACAACGATCTTGAAAGTAAAATCAATGATTTGCAAATCAAACTAGAAGAGTTTGAAAAGAAAAATTTAGATTTGCAAAATTTACTTTCAAAGATCAATGATGATCATCAAAAGAAAATTGATGATCTTAAAACTTCTTTTGATAAAGTTGGAACAAAACATTTTGAAAAAGGTGGAAATTCAAAATCCAACTTTGTTAGAAAAAGTTTTAGAAACTACAATCATAGAGGTCCCCAAAGAACCTCTAATGGGAAAATCGTTAGAAGTATGTGGGTTCCTAAAGAACTCATTACTACTAAAGATAAAAATATCCTACTCAAATGGATACCTAAGGGGACTAGGATTTTGGAAACTAATGAATATGGACCCAAAAGAATTTGGGTACCAAAAATCAAAAATTAATCTATGTTTGTAGGGAAAGGAGCATTGCTACAAGGCACGGGAAACAAATTCAAATTCATGGTACCTTGATAGTGGATGCTCAAGACACATGACCGGAGACAAAAGCCGGTTCATTGAGCTTAACGCCAAAAATGGAGGAGAAGTGACTTTTGGAGACAATTCAAAAGGTCACATTGAAGGTATTGGTACAATAGGTACTACATCTTCCATACAAATTAAAAATGTTTTATATGTGAATGGATTAAAGCATAATCTATTGAGTATTAGTCAATTATGCGATAAAGGATTCAATGTCTTATTTGAAATTAATGGTTGTAAAGTCATTGACATTGCATCTAATCGGATTATGCTTGTTGGTCATAGAATAGGAAACATATACATGGTGCATTTAGATTCTTTTGATATGATTAATTTATGCGTA